TAACAAACTACAACGTTCATTAATGACTGATTACTATAATCGTGTTGCATTCATTTCCCTTACGTGCCTTACCAGCAGGCACGCCATTTCTCTCCAGTAATAATAGCAGCAAATATTTTAGCAGCCGACTGCCACATCATTAGTCTTGTACTGACTTGTTTGGTGTGCGCAACAGGAAATATTTTGCTTTCAGAGAACAAGAAAAGTAGGTTTATTTGCATTACACTTATTAATTTATGCAGTTATTCGTGTCTGGTAAATTAATGTTTAAGAAAAAATAATTTTTATTAAAATGTTCTATTATTTTATGTTCATGATTACTCATTTATTCCAGCCCTTTGTATTCAGCATGTCTCTATTGAAATAAACCTATGTATCTATGAAAATTGAAGCTTTTGTTTTTTTTGCGGCTCACATAAACTTAAACCTTGTTTATTTGGCCTGTGTTAGCCTTTGAGTTTGACATGCCCTACCTGGCCACCTGTCTTGATGGCACTTCTGTTCATGCCTGGGACAACTGAGCCCTGCCTCTCAGACCATACATTTTTGGACTCCTATAATACTTACTGTGTGACTTAAGACACGTTATTTATTCTTTCCAGACCTGTTTTCTTCACTGTGACCTGAGTAAACTTCATCTCTAAGGTTCCTTGCTCCCCTATGCCAAGAATTGAAAAATTCTTCTTGGCCAGGTGGTTCAATTGGTTGAGTGTTGTTCCACACCCCAAAAGGTTGCAGGTTTGATTCCTGACCAGGACACATTCCTAGGTTGTGGGTTCAATCCCCAGTCGGGGTGTGTATGGAAAGCAACCAATCAATATTTCTCTCTCTCCTTGATGTTTTTCTCTCTCTCCAAAATCAATAAAAAATATTTTTAAAAAAGAAAAATAGGACTTCTTTTTCATTAAGATCATCCCATGATGGCTGTCATCTAGTGACAGCTTTTGAAACTGCTGAATGAGATGCTCTCTGCACCTTCATTCATTTCAAATGAATGGTTCTTTCTGACTCTTTTCTGGATTCTCGATGAGAGCAACTCACTTTTCTTCATTTCCCGCCCATCTCTCTCTTTCGTAGTTCTTTTCCTTCTAGTCAGATTTGCAAGTTCATGAAGTGACCAATTGGGTTCTAATCCCAAGGACCACTCTTGCTGACATGAGCCCCTTGTGCTTTCCGACACCACCATGTCCTTTCTCAGAAGCCCTTTGTGTCTACCCTCCAGTCTTAGATGGGTTGAAGGCTTTAGTTGACACTACAGTGACATCCCTATAAGGGATGTACAGTGGTGTGACGCATCTGAAAGTGGATCAGAAACAGTAAAACAGGACACAAGAGCGATCGGACTTAGTGTGGAAATCTCCTTCAACTGTTTCTCCTCTGTAGACCTGTAAGCTCCCTGGTAAGACAGAAGACTCACCTCTCAGAGTATGGCGTGCTGTCATATGTGGGTTTCTTCTCCATGTCGAAGGAGTCCTCAGTATTGCTGATGCTGCAGTGGTGGTAAAGGAAGACGATGGCAAAAAATGAGTGCCAGGTAACTACCACAGTCACAAGTGGGATGCTTTTCTTATTAACACAGTGACCACAAGCTGAGACATGACTCTGCATGGCCAGCTATCATCTGTTATGCAAAACGGCAGGGGGAGCTTTAAACTTGGTGCCAAGGAGGCACAGTTCTCTTGGAGAAAAGCCCTTGCATGGGGGGCAAAGAGGATCTGCCACGGTGAAGCATGGCTCTGATTCTTGAGGCTGTGTATACCATGAAGGCCCCCAATTCACTGACCAGTAGAAAAGGAGCAGAGCTTTTCTCCCCATATACCTGTGTGAGCTGTAATGTGACAGTCACCAGGAGCCCACTCATAGCAGAAATTAGACACTACAGATGGGAACAAAGAAAACATTCTGACATATACCTGTGCTTGGGTTATAGGAAGTGAGATTTTTTTCCTTATTCATCATCGTTTTTCAATAACAAGACTTTTTATAATACAAACTAATGGTTAGAAGATACTAGTAAAACCACTGCCAGTGAAGGACTACTAATTGCAGTCCCTGTGGTATGCTTAGTGTAGCTGCCATTCTCACAGGAGCGATATAATAATCCCCTGAGTTAGTCATGAAAACTGACTCAGAGGCTAAGTGACCTGCCTAAGGTCACACCCAAAGGAAGTGGTGAGCTAGAGTTTCAGCCCAGGCTCTGATTTCTTCTGAGAATTAAGCTTATCTCAGAGCCTCCTGAGGCAAAAAGGGAAAACACAATGGACTGGACAATTCTCACTATCCAATCAAGAAGTCTACTGGCTTGTCATAAGACCTACCATTTTGACTGGATGTTAAATTCAATATTAAAATTAATTTGTCAGAGTTTAGGAAATAAATTTAACAGAGTAGTGGGACTGGGAGAAGAAAAAAGAAAGAAGGGACAAAGTTCAGTCAGGTGACACTCATAGAGGCAGATGCTAGATGGCAAAGGCAGCTCCCTTGGGAGTGCTGGAGGTTTTACATACATTATTTCTAAATTCAAAGCCTCTCTGAACAAAGCTACAGAGATAGAAAATAGATCAGTGGTGGCTAGGGGCTGTGTGGCTGGTGGTGTGGAGAGTTGCTAACGGGTACAGGGTTTCCTTCTGGGGTAATGAAACGTTCACGGGGAACTGGATAGTGCCAATGGTTGCACAACATTGTAAATGTACTAAAAAAAACCACTGGACTGTGCATTTTAAAAAGTGAAATTTATGATATGTAAGTTATATCTCAATAAAGCTGGTGAGAAAAACCACCCTAAGGAGTTACAGAAGAAGAAACTGAGGCTCAGAAAGGTTGAGTATCTTGACTGAAATAATTCAGCCACTGGGGGTTTGAGGTGGGGCTTGAACATGACGCATGGTCATCATTTCATAGCACCAGTGAAAACTGGTTCAGCATCCCCAGAGGCCCAATCCTGAAGTAAGACCAGGATGCTTCTCTGTTTCTAAAATCCTCACCCTAGCAGTGAGATGGTGTGTCATAAAAAATATTCCCGCGGGGGATGCTGTCTCAGTGTAGGTTGTTTTCATTGATGTGGCACAGGGGAAACCCTCACATGGCTTCAGGAAACAAGAAGATAAAGAGATGATGAGTAAAATGTTATACACATATCAGGACCTACAGTCGACTGTGTGTTCAAATGAGGCAACTTGGCATGCTGGAAAGAGCGTGGGAACTGAAGAGAGGATCCCTATGTTCTGGAGCAAGATGAAATTAACTACATTGTCTTGTAAGGGCCCTGCCATTTCTGTAAAGAGTGATACCCTCAGTATTTCACAAAAGAAAGCTTGTAGTTATCAAGAAACAAAGACAGGCAGAAATAGGTGGCACTGGAAGTGGAGAATAAGATGCATTAATGATAAAGGGGGAACACAAAGGCACTCAGGAAGAACAGCTGGAAATGCATAAATCATGTCCATAGGCAATTACATCATTCATGCATTCAATACACAGAAGTAACTCTGGGCCAAGTCCTGATTGAGGTACTGGGAATGCAGGAATGAGGACGCCACAGGGCTCCGCAGGAGAAGGCCATGACATGAAAGATTCAGGGACTTGCTCTTACCTGCTGTAACGTGGAGACATCAGCTTCCCGGAAGATACCTCACTAACATTCATGTACTCCTTCACGAAGAGAATCCCTTTGCTGTAGAAGGAGCACAATGGAACAGAAAGAGGTATACTGGCCTCTGGCTAGGTAGCTCAGTTGGTTAGAGCATCGTTCCGATACAGCAAGGTTATGGGTTCGATCTCCAGTCAGGGCACACACAAGAGTCAACCAATGAATGCATAAATAAGTGGAACAACAACT